AGGGCCATTAATAAAATAGCTGTATTGCCTATTGAAGTTTAGCAAGTTGTGAATTATTACTCAGTTGTTAGTAATATATTGAAATTATTTTTCTCAATAATTTTGTTTCATGTTTGTTTACTTATTTATATTTTCTATACTATATACGTATTTACTTGTTTACATGAATAACAACTTTAATACTGGTATTTCATAATTAAATTTATGTTAAGTTCTTGCATGTGAACATAGCAAGGCCGGGCGGGATGTTGGCGCATTTTACGCCAACATCTCGCCAATTATCGCTCCTGCGATTGAGGCAGCAGACTTGAAGAAGATATCTAACCGGTGTGACGTGAGCAATTACTTGTAACCGAGCGCCACAATTAAATTGTATTTTGCTTCCTGTAAATATTTGTATATGATGTTTTCTAAATAAAATATTAAAACGAAGCAGTGAAGCTGGTCCGTCGATAAAATAACCTTTAAGAAAAATAAGTTTATTCAACGATAATTCTAAACTATTTCCTAACGGCAGTGTTCTCACACAACTCAGTACAAGATAAACGAATAGCGAAAGAACATCCAAAGAATGGCCAACGGTTTGAGCTGTTTGTGCTCATTGGCTAAATATGCAATACACGCAGTGGAGCTCGATGCCCATTGGACAAGGAGACCGACGTTGTGGATAGTATCTGTCAATCCAAAGCAGAAATTCTCATCGATTCGGCAAGTTTCATTTTAGATATAATCTAAGAACATTCAGTTGCTTTCAACGTCCAAAATCACTTTTTTTTTTTTGTTCATAAACGAAGTATTAAGCCAATTCCAAAAATCGTGAGAAATATTAGGATAAGTCGGGAAAATATATTGTAAATCGGGTTGGCGGGAGCGGTCGAAAATCGGGAGTCTCCCGCCTAATCGGGAGAGTTGGCAACTGCATAAATTTCCACATATTAAACCTTATTGAGGTCTGCCTATATCTTATGCCTGATCGTCTTTGGGTCCTAAATTCTGTGACTTTGCAGCCATACGACCCTGGGCTGGTTCTGGGTTTATGTGAATAACAAATCAATTATTCTTAATTCATAGCCCTAAATGTAACTTTGGGTCTTGAGTATTATCAACAAATCTTTTTAGCATATGGGAAGAATTTTTGTAATTTTCCTCGTTCTTTTTAGCGAATTTAACTTAATCTGTAAGCATTGCCAAGTGCCAATGTCAACATAAAAGGTTGCCATAATCCTTATTATTCAATTACTAACATAAAAATTTTGTTAGGCATCGCCAATGAGTCTTACTCAGTTGTCTGTTTCGGATAACATGCAGTGATGAAAGGAAAGTATAATAAATAATGATTTGCCAGGTTGGCATCAGATCAATGACATATCTATGTGGAATTTTTGGTTTGAGATGTGTGCCAAAAAGCAGATACGCAACAACAGAACCAAATTACTGATCGTACAAATTTATGCTGAAATGTTTGTTTCTTGAATAGCAAGGTATTTTATTTAGTGTGGAAGCGAAATTAAGAATTGGGACTCTCCAGATGTTTTATTATGCACAGAAGGTAGAATCAAATGTGCATGCGTAAAGCCTAGGAAAGAAACATTGGTGGTGGTTTAGGAGTCCGGATTTTAGATCATTCCGGATAATGGACGTCCGGATTTCAGATCATTCCGGATAATGGACGTCCGGATTTCGGACTTTGCACTGTATATATACATAGAAACCTTGTTACAACAATATTTTAGGGATCAAATAAATATATTGTTGTAGAGAGGCATATTGTTATATCAAGGGCCCACATATTTTGAGCATTTAATAAGAGTTTTTTTTTATTATTATTAGTTTAAGGTGCATAACATACTACTTTTAAGTCTATATTTAGAAGAAATTAATTTGTAAAATACTAATAATAGTGGTTTAAATACCAACAAAATAAATAAATAAGATAAATTCAGAAAATAAGCACAGAAATATTCACATACCTGAAAACACTTTTTATTGAAAATAATCCAATATTTTTGTTTGTTTATTGATTTTTTTTAACTGTTAAGTTCACCAATACTGTATGCATTGAGTCTAGCGCACGAAAATGTTCTTCATTTGTCAACGGAAGGCTTGAAAAAAATGTCCGTAGAGAATTCACAGATTGAAGAGCTTCCTGGGATGACAATAAGGACTGCGATGGACCTGTATTATCATCATCATCAATATCATCATCATCTTCATCATTGTTTCCTATCTCATCAGTATTTCAGAGAGAATATCTTCATCAGTAACTCCTGCGAAAACCATAAGATCATCATCTGCTGTTAAATGTCTTCTATACTAATTCCAAACTTTTTTTACCGCTTGTTTCCTCAAGTTGGGATACGGATTTTTTGATGTGGCAAAACACATTCTTGATCATCTGAGAGATCATTGTCTATGGAATTTTCATCATTATCAGATTTCTTATCTTCCATAACACAAAAACCGGCCTTTTTCCAGCAATTCCGAATGGTTTTTTTTTTCTGTTACTTTTCCCACCAACTTCCAGCAATATTGTCACACGCTTCCTTGACATTTACAGCTTTGAAGGGTCTTCTACTTATTTTCAAAGTTTACAAGTATGGAGTCCACCAAACCGTTTTCTGTAATATCCTTTGAAGCACTTAATTATGCCCATATCAAGAAGCTGTAAAATTGAAGTGCAATTGGCAGGGGAAAAAGCGATTTCGATATTTTGTAGCTTTGGAAATGACGTGTGAGCACCGCAGTTATCTATCAACAAACGATTTTTTCTTTCTCTTCTTTCTTTTATTGTCTAACTTCTGTAACATTCGGAAAAAAATTTAGAGTCATCCAAGCCTTCTTATTTGCTTTATACTCCACGGAAAGACTTTTCATGTTCTTAAAGCACCTTGGCTTCAATGATTTACCAATGACGAGAGGTTGTATTCTATGCATTCCTGTGCTATTTGTACACAGAAGAACAGTCAGTCTCTGCTTTGATTTCTTCCCTCCATAACACTTTTCACCCTTGAATGCCAATGTTCGATCGGGTAGGAGTTGGAAAAACAGCCCAGCTTCATCTGCATCTTCTGGAGCATACTTTTCTAAGATTTCTTTCATCTTGTTTTGCCGCCATTCATTTGCGTCGTTTATCGGGGCTGACTTTTTCTCTCCGTGAACTTCTTGGAAAGTTATTCCATGATGATCTCGAAAACACATTAACCAACCATTGCTAGCTTTGAAAGTTTCGTTCCCTAGCATTGCTCCAAATTTCCGTGCTTTTGCACATAATAAAGGTCCATTTATTGGGACATTTGTTGCTCTCATCTCTTGAAACCATTTTAAAACAGCAGCATCAATGTTTTCATTTGTCGCAACTTTCAGTCGTTTTCGCTCTGGGTTAATTTCATTTGAAGTTACAGCATCTTCAATTTGCTTTCTCTTCTTTAGGAACGTTGCAACTGTAGATTGGGATAATCCATGTTTCTTAGCCGCATCAATCTGCTTCATTCCCTCATCAATATCATTGATAACGTTCAGTTTATCTCAAAAAGATAGTTGCTTTCGCCCTGCCATCTTAGGGAACAATATCGCGTGAAAGAAAGAAAAGTTTGAACCAAATGTTTCGCGTAGAACTCAAAATCGTTAAAGACTATAAACCAACCTTTGAACTCACTTTTCAGTACGTCACTTAACAACACCCCGCCTTCATCTTCCCCTGTTCCTCTAACAAAGGGCACTAGTTCTGTGACAAGGTGACCAGACAGTTCTAGATGTCCTTAAACCTTATCAGAATTCCAAAGCTTCTGGGAAATGAGACTAACTAAGCATACATTTGCACACTTCCACCCCCCTCACCCACTCCAATTCCCCAAAGGGTGGTCTTCATCTGTTTTGAAATCTGAACAATAGCTATTTATTCAGGGATAAGTGAATATCCACAATGTGTCTTAATAACGGAAAAATAACAAAGAAAACGAAAAAAAAAAAAAAAAAAAAAACATTTGAAATCAAATATTATTATAAAGGGAGAAAATAATACTGAAATTTAGATTGAAAAAATCGTTTTACAGAGGTTTATTGTTCTAGAGAATATAGCAATATTCAGGGGAGATTAACATTAGTTTATATGCAAAATCACCGGAACCACAAAACATTATTGTAGTAGAGGGAGTTATTGTTGTATCGGGTATCATTGTAGCAAGAGTTTACTGTATATGAAGTCAAGAAAATGATCTCTGCTTTGGAGCAAAATGCTGTAGCATAAGGAAACTATATACTGGCAGAGGAACAAGAGGGTGATATTGTTGCATGATAAAGAAATGTTCGATATGATGCACACAACTAAAGAAATACAAATTTCTTGGATTGACCGGTCTAACAATTTATATCACTATATGTTTTGTCCTTTTTTCTTATGTATATGCTGATTTAAATTTTTTTCAATATTACCAGTAATAAGCCCTTTTAAACACATGAAGTTGAACAAAGCTTTACCAATTGTTCTAGCTTTATCAATTCAAAAAATGCCAAACCTACCCCCAAATAGGGTATGTTAACTGCCTCTTACAGATGGTACATTTCTCTCCAAAAAAGTCTTCATTATCATTTTCTACTTATTTACTCCTTTTATTGCTAGATGACAGTTATTTTAAAGACTACAATTTTCTTTTTTAAATCAACAATAAACTATTAAAAACCATACATAAATTTATATACTTATATAGCTAGACAGAAGTTATTTTCAAGGCTAAAATTTTCTTTTTAAAATTAACAATAAATTATTCAAAAAGCATAAATAAATTTGTACACTTAACATTGACAGTTAAGCTATTTGAAATGTAATTTGCGAGCTGGTGAAAAAAGTACTTAAAACTAAATGAAAACAAAGTGCATCAGAGAAAATATACAGTAATGAAATTGAAAAAAAAAAAAAAAAAAAAAAAAAAAAAAAAAAATAAATAAAAAAATAATAATAATAATAATAATATAATAATAAAAATAATAATAAAAGTATTTACCAAAATTCATACCTTAAGGACTGAAGAACACCAAATTTTGGTGAGCGTATAGGCTGTGATATAGGAATAGACTGGGGGAACATACGCCTTGGTGGTTGTCGACTGCTGCAGATAAAACAAAATGATGAAAATTGTCACAAATAAACAAAGCTTAAAAAAAATTAATAGTATAAATGGAAACCAAAAGAAGCTCAGCATACTTCTGTTGAGTAACAAAATCTCTTGAATCTCTGTGCAAAGGATGTTGCTGATAATGGCCAAAAACTTCAAAAACAATTGGTTGTGTTCTGATGTACTCAAGGAAAGACTTTGTAACAGTTACAGTTATCTAAATGTGAAAATCAATCAATAAATTCAAGTCAGAAAATATAATGTGAAATGTGTACACAAATAATATTACACATTAAAAAAATGCTCAAACAATTTTCTCTTTCAGCAGCTTCTTTTTTATTATTGATAAATACACAAACTTGCACATTCTTGTAAAATTTAAGTAAAAATTTTGATGCATTCATTCATTTTGAATGTCCTAAATATATATGCAAATGATGTGTACATTGCTTATCATACATATCAGTAATTTCGTAGAGGAATACAGGATGATTTGCCAATTAGTTCTATTCATCAGGTGAGTTTTTCACCCAGCTAAATACATGTTTAATACACTGCACTTATAATATTAAACCAAATACTATGGATTGAAAAATTTTAATTATTTACTATTTAATTTATTTTTCTTTAAAAATTTATGGCATCTTAAAATTATATATGTGTATTTATTATTCTCTTATATCTCCTTCCTAATTTAAGGATATTCTTGCACAAACCAATGACATGAAGCTACATAATATCATCATAAAATTTTTTTCTCATTCTCCCTTGATCATACCAACAGGTGGTTCCTCATTCCCCAAATAGACATATTAATTTTCATTCTTTCTTTCCAATACGGACTTTTTTAAAAAATATTTCAGATTCAATTGTAATACATATTCATAGAAGCAAAATATTTATTTCTGACTCAATCTGCATGAATAAAAGCCAATAAAAGATTTAAAGATGCACATCCATACATTCTGTACATGAAAGAATCCAGGAGAATGACTTTTTCCAGTATTTTTCAAAGGTTCTGTTGAAAAGGCTTCATCATGACGATGTAAGAAACTAGAAAAAATAAGAAAAGGAGAATTTTATATTATTTTCAAATTTCTTATTTTCGTTAATATAAATTTAAAAGTTTGTTGGACATAATAAATTCTTTTAAAGATTTTTGATAGCATACATACTTGAACTGGCAAAAGATATCAGCATATTCTTTTGAAATGTTTATAGCTTGGAGAACAGTAACTCTGAAAGTAAATTCTTGTCCTAAATGAAGGTGATCAGGATGATCACAATCTTTGCCTTCATTTTCAGAAAGAAGGTTGCATTTTTCATCAGTGTGTTTATTATTATCTTCATCACAGTAAATATCTAAAAGGAAATACATATACACTATAATGGTATATCTATTTTGAGGAAAATCACTTTTTCAGTACTTAGATATGAAATCCTTTTTTTTTTTTTTTCCTTCTGCCAGAAATGGTACAAAATTTCATGATGATTTCAACTAAGGCATATTAGAAACTCAGTAAAAACTAAATTATGTGAAAATTACATAAATTATAACAAATATTTTCTTTACCTGAGTTTTCTGGAGTGGGTCCTTGTCCTTCGACTATTCGCTCTTGTGAAGAACTGAAATCTTTATCAGATGTACAATTTTCTTTCTCTTTCTTTGAACCCTGAACAAGAAAAGATTAAAATAAAGATATATTGGCCAAATGCTCTCAGAGGATAACTGTATAATCTTAAAAATGCTTCTGAGATTATATAATTATCATTACAATATAGATAAATCTCAAAGCATAAATCATACACTTTGAGATTATTTGACATATACATATATGTGTTGTGTATATATCAAGTAAGCTCAAAGCATATTGTTTACTTTTAAGTTTTGATACATTTTAAAAAAGTTTTTTTAGTTCAATTGTTTCACTTTGCTTTTAAAGTTTACTTGTTACACTTTTTCTTGTTACTTGTTACACTTTGCTTTTATAGTTGTTAGAAGTCATAAAGTTTAAAATAGTTCAAAACTCATAAATTGATTTGTTAAATAAAATATTTTTGCAGTACGGGATCATAATTTCTCAACTTTTATTTCAGAATTTACTGCTGTTTATTTCTCCTCAACAGAGAAGTTTGAGATAAGCTAAAAACAACAATCTGGATATTTTATTTAATACACCACACAATAATCCTCTATTACTCACCAAAACAATAAATACAGTCAACTACATCACAGGAAAAAAAGTTTTAAATAAATGAAGCATTTACTGTTCAGTTTAAAGGCCTCGTGTTATCACAATTACACTGACATAAATCCTTTATACTACAAACCAAAAATTATTTAACTTATTTTGAAAACTCATATTTATTAATAAAATCTATGTTAACAGATCCATAATCATATTAGAAAATGATTAGATTCTAATGTTTAAACAAGTACAGAGTAAAAATGGAATTTAAGAAAGTGTAACATACATTACCAATTATAATGTTTTACTCATTTAAAAAGGATCCATGGAATTTAAAAGCAATTTTAAGAAAAGAAATTAAAATAACAAAGAATGATAGGCAGAGAAGTTTAGGAAGGAAAATAACAAGCAATATCATTTAAAAAAGAAGTGCAAGAACCATAGCATTTTCATACACTATGAAAAAAAGTAGAAATGCTAAGTGAATTATTGATAAGCATTAATCAAAAAGAATAAAAACCTTTTTCTGTTTCAGAAACAAATCATCACTAAAACTTATTCGTGCTGATTGTCTCACACCTCTCTGATTTACATCTGAAGATTCTTCATCATCTGTAAAAAATATTATATGAGCAGATGTTTTATATGAATAATTTACCAAAACTAATGGAAAGCAAACCATACCTATAACAGCTTGCACTGCAACTCTCAGATATCCTTTAACATCACCTTTTTCATTCACAATTGCAACTTTTTGAATCAAAGGGACTGGATACAATAAATTGCTCAGATACACAAATGCCCTAAGTACAGATATGTATTAAATTTTACATTCTTAAAGCACTAAAAAACCACAAATTATAGATAAAATACCTGAACTTTCTTTCCTCCCCCCCCCTGAAAAAAAAAAAAAAAAAAAAAAAAAGCAGCGCATTTTCTATTTGCAGTATTTACTTACATATTTCAACCCCTCTTTTACTAATTTTATTTCCAGAAAACTGACAGGTAAAAATTTTAAGATATGTACTCTTTCTCACAGAAATTATTACAGCCAGAAATTAGCCAACCAGAAAGCAGAAATGAATAGATATGTTAATATTATTGAAGTCTATATCTCAAAGAAATCAATAATCAAATTACTTTCATCATTTTTTACCTGGACAATGCATTTTGCTATCTATTGAAAATTTTACCCTGCTGCCATAAATCTAAAATTTCTAAGCAAAAAATATCAGGGGGGGGGAGAAATGTAAGTAAATAAGATAAAATAGTAAATTAAACATAAACAAAATGCTAAAACCAAAATTACCTGCCTATAAGTCTAAACCATGGAAATCGATCATAGAAAGGATCTCCACCAGTTATACTTTCAACATTATATTCAGGTGATGTTGGAGAAAGTTCTGCTTCATTATGATACATTTCTCTCATTAGCTCCAAGCGTTGCCTGAAAAATAAAATACACCAGTTACTTATTTTTTTTAATAATGTAACACAAGAAAAATGCAAATAACTGAACTTAATTACCTTTTTAAGTGACAGTAAACAGAAGCATATGCCATGCAAAATAGCAGAACATTAGCAAGAAAGAAAAAGGCAGCTTTCAACTTATAAAATAATGACTGTTATCAAAAAACATTTACAATACACTGAAAGTAATTTTGATAGAAATGAATCAAAAAGTAACTTATGGCCATATGAAGTTATACTGACAGAAAATGAAAATGCTTATATATCATGAAATATATTAACACTATACAAAATATACCCCCTTCCAATACCAATCAAATTTTTCCTCTCCCACAGACCTTTCTTGATTTTTTTAAAGTTCATACAAATTCCAATTGATAAATATATGGTCTAAAATTTCTTCATGTAATGGAAATATAAAAAGAATGCATTATACAATCAGTTTTTATTAAAAATTACTACTTAATTAAAAAAATGCATTCAGAAATTTTCAAGAAATACACAGCTTTTTAATACAGCAAAAATGCACATTTATAATCGAATATCATAATCTGCAAAATCTATATATGCAGTTAAAAATCTTTTTTTAAAATTATATGAAAAAGTATTCAGGGCAAATGCACCATGAACAGTGTAAAACACACAAACAAGGATTTATTAAGATTTTATAAATATACACAGCAAGCATAATGACTGCTTTGGAAAGAAAAGCTAATGTATTTAAGTAAAATAGACCGGCCACTAACAATACTCCAACTACCACAAGACTGTCAGTGTCCTTTAATCTTTTCCTGCAACAAATTTTTGTGTTAAAAAATTGCTTTCATTAATTTAGGCTGACCCAATTAGATTAAAAGTAGTTTTGCAATTTCTACCGGAAATTTCGAATACTGTTATATTAGAACGTGCTATATATAAATCTAATATATATCTCTAATATAAATCTAATATGATCTAATATATATAAATCTAATATTTATAATCTAATAATAAAGTCGCCCTTTCGAGACATGAAAAATGCAATTTGAATTTCGTCAATTGGCCCATTAGAATGGGAGATATAGAACTGGACCTTTTTTTTTTGGCACAGTGTACATGCATAACTTCATATGGCTGTAAATAATTAAGGGTTATTAAACAGTATTTGTAAATAATTAACAAGACATTGATAGCAGTTACAAATGAAATTGACAGAGTTAACTTTTCTTTTAATCCTGCAGCAATTTCCAAACACTAAGAGTAATACAAAACTAAAATTACAACTTTGTTTCTTAAATTGTAAAGATTATGGTCTGTAATAATGAAAGACCATAAAAGTTCAGGATTTAGAGCAGGGACTACCAAACCTTTTTTTGCACTGTCGCCTTTTAAAAGAATGGTTTACTTTACTGACACCCTTATGTTTTTCTTTTCTATAATGTGCACACAATACAATCATAATATAAATAACTTAACCATTAGACTAAGTTAGTTTAGAAAAAGTTTTGGAAAAAAAAAAAGGTTTATTACATTCATGTTTTACTGTTCTTAATTCTACAAATATAAACGAGTTTTTAGAAACAAAATCACAAATTCTAATTGTATAAAAGTTTGATTTTAATTAATACTATAGCTGTGCTTTTTGTATTGATGCAATTTTTTTTTTTTTTTTTTTTTTTTAATATTTGACATACACTTTCTTAACTTAATTCTTAAATTATCTTGTTCAAAAATGTTTAATCATTTTCTTGCTTTCCATAGTAAATTATTGACTAGACTAAAACCTGCATCTACTAGGTACAAAGAGGGAAAAGTCAATAATGTTAGTTTGGTAATAACTTTTATTTTGGGATATTTCTCACGAATGAGTTTTACATTCTAAAACTTAGCATATCCCTGTGTTTTGAATAAGATTTCATTTTGTATGATATAGGTTTATACCAATAAATAATTAATTACCAGGAAGTCTCTAATTTAGAGCATCTTACTAGAGCATTTAACCTTTTAACTGTCAAGTTATTTTGATGATTTGGGTGCATAAATTGTCAATTTTGTTTTATTTCAAAAATGAAATGTTTGCCTTGCAGTCAAAAAAATGCCGCGCACTTTGAACTTTAACCTCCATCCTTTGAAACCTTCAGTAAAATGCTGCCATCTGTTGAACTGAAGCCGAAATAAACTTCTGACTATATATATTCGGCTATAACAATACGATGCACTCAAAAAAAAAAAAAAAAAAAAAAAAATTAGCTCGAGTAATACTCGGGGGTGACATTTTAGAATACCAGTGCTGTGCCCGAGATTATTTTTGGCATGACAGTTAAAAGGTTAATCAAGATTAATCCTGAAAAAATTGTTAAGATTAGTCATGCTAACACAATACTGCTTTTTTTTCAATAAATTAATATGCTTTATTCTATGTATTTTCATATTTTATTGTGAATGAACATACCGAAATATTTTTAAAAAGAGAGAGGAATGATGTCATATCCAAATAAAACATTTTATGCTTCCAGAATTTAAAAATATTTTTAGATCTGCATTTAAGTGTATAAAGAAATAAAAACATGTAAACTGTTCATAATTTTATTCAGTGAATAAATACTGCTCATTCAAAACAAGTTCTCACTTTTTAAACAACAGCTACAAAATTTAACCTTTCTTTCACAGCAGTTGCACATAACAACAATAGAAGAAAAAAAGGTGTATAATGCATTTTGAGCAACAGTGGTTTCATCCTTACAAGTTGCAAATAAAATTTTAAAAGAAATGCTAGGGTGGATGATCTGCTAAATTCTAATGCTATTCAGTAACTTCACAGGAAATAATGATATTGTTGTAAATTTCTGCAAATATTCAAGTTTTTTTTTTGTACTGTATTTTTGTTTTTCTGCATTGCTGCAATAGCCTGCAGTTTTACTTATTTATTCCTTTGTTGCTTTTAGGATTTATTTTGCATTCACTCGAATTTGTGATTACATGTTTTGAATATACGAGTAATTGTTTATTTCTTGTACAAAATTATAAATCTGACTAACAGCATTTAAACTGAAAAAACAGCTCAAGTAGAACATGAGATATGAGCAGGATAAGCTCTTGACAGGCTTTGGTGACTAGTTTTGTTACCAGATTAACAATATTTGGCAAATTTTTGCCGAATTGGCATTTTTTTGGAAGATTTGGGAGAATACACTTCTGAAGCTCTCATACCGATTTTCCCACAGCTTTCAAAAACCCAGGCTACACTATATAGAGTTCCAAGAGCTAGGATGAATCAGTTGCTAGCTGTGAGATATAGCAATTCAAAGTGATTTAGTAAGCTGAATAGTGATTCAAAGCTTACTCATAGAGTGATTTTGGAAATTAACAATATTTCTCATATACTAAGGAGGAACAGCTCAATATCAGCATTCTTCAGGAGCTATTTAATGTATTCCAAGTCATTAATTTTTAAAAATAAATTGTTAATTTTTTCATGAAGACTTTTAATTAAAGAATCATTGATGAGCCCATAGTTAACAATAAATGGTGTCAGAATTATGCATTTCTTTGAATGTTCAATACCCAGGAAGATGAAAGAGCAACCGAAAGCCATTATGGAAATAAATGCTACCAGCTGTAAAGCAGCAGCTAAAGCCACTGTAAACAATGTCTCAGCTTAGCCTTCCATGACTAACACTCCAGCCATCTTGAAATGAAAAATACCTTGGTTCAATTCTCTGTTCCTCCAATTATACTCTTATTATATGATGAAGTATCATGATGAAATGTAAACAAAACACAATTTGAAATGATTTTGTAAGCAAATTGAAAGGACCCCCATCAATGCTCTATTTGGCTGTCTTTTTACGAAGGGAGCTGCTGATATTTTACAGATGCTTTCAGGAAAAAAATATTCAGATGCAGATGCTTTAGTTAAATAACTAGAGCTGTGGTTTGAAGAAACATTTCTTAAACATTATTGCTGACTGCAGCTTAAGGCCCATTAAAAAAAGCAGAAAAGTCTAAAAACTTGCAATTGTAATTGAAAAGTCAATTCAGAAAAGTTAATTTTCAGTCCTTAAAGTCAGTAAAGGAATCTTGCATGAGAATGTTGATGCACTTTTAAGAAGACCATGTGCAGAAAAGTGCAAACACCATTTGAAAGTCGAGTTAAAATATGGCTTTAAAGTCCCAGTGGTTAGATAAATAACACACTGTCCATAACAACTGAACCTGATATCTGAAGCAGTAAAGAACTTAGAAAGGCCCAAATAGGAGAAGCTGAATTGCTGAATTGAGTAAACTGCTATTTCACTAAACTGGCAGGATATCGCCATGTTGATGATAGTTTTGGAATTCATTTTTGTCACCAAATCTGGTAAGAAATCACCAAATGTTGCCAAATTTAGCCATCATTTGGTCCAGTCCCTGTATAACTATAATGGATCAATACACATAACAGTGACCATATCCGGCCCTTATGTGTCACTTTAACCATATATGCCTTCCAGTAATTTAAAAAAAATATAAGGTTATAGAGATTTCTTGGTGGCAGTAGAAAATTATATAAGACAAGAGAAAGCATCAATTCTCAATATGAGTTCAAAGTTTTTTGTTCAAAGGCAACTTGTACTTGTATCTCCATGTGAACTATATGTGCTTTGCATTGCACTGTGCTTAACTTTCTTAGTAATTTGAAGTGTTATTATTAACTGTGCTCTGCGATACTGAGAAGAGATGCAAGAAATTTCATGGAAAGTTTTAGATCTGTAAAGTATTTTTTTTTTTTGATGAAATAATTTTATCAAACTATCATCAGTTCTGTGTTCATTTAATCTGTTATAAACCAATGTACATGTAATAACATATTCTAGAGAAAAATGATATTCTTTGTTTTCTAATGCAATGCCCAGGGTATGTGCAAGGATCTAAATTTGATTTGGAATATAACATGATGGTGATTATCATAAATGGACCAAATTATCTTAATAGAAATAAAATTAAGTAAAGTATCAT